AGGCGGCTCCACCCAAGCAAGGACAGGGCCAACAGACAACCCCCGTTGACACTCCCCTGCTACGTTTATGTTAGAGCCTCTAGTCCACACGTCAGCACAACTCGGAGAATAGCTCGTCGGCGTGCACACAACACACAGCACACCGGTCACCGCACCAACCGTACAAAAGTTAACGACACCTATTGCTGCACGTCGCCGACGTCGGCCAGGCATACTTGGCCGATCGCGACGGAGCACCGGTTGAAAGCCGGAAAGTGCAGCGCCTTCGTCAGAAAGTCGGTTGGTTGTTCAGTGATCGGGATGTATTTCATCGTTAATTTCCCGCGCTTCACCATGTGCTGCAGCCAGGCGTATCGCCGCTCCATATGCTTGAGGTTGCCCAGCAGCCCCAGGCCCTCGGCGACCGTGATGGCCGATTTGTTGTCCACCAAAAGGACACTCGGCGTCCTGGCGTCCAGCAGCCGGAACTCTGCAAGGAGGAAGCGAAGTCGGCGTCCCTCCTTGCCGGCCTCGGTGGCCCCCACATACTCTGACTCGGTCGACGACAGCGTCGTTCATTTGATGCGCTGGCTCGACCAGGAGATGGCGGCCCCTCCAAAGACGAACACATAGTCGGCCGTGGTCGTCCAGTTCTGCTTGTCACCACCATCGTCGGCGTCCACGTAGCCGACCAGCTTTAGCGACTCTGTCCACCGCTGAACCCCAGGGCGGTGTCACGGGAGTCAGCAAGGTAGGCAAGGCAGCGGTCGACCTCACACCAGTGCTGGTCGCTCCTCACTGTGAGGCCGCTCCCCAGCTTGGTGCAGGCGAAGGCGATGTCCGGCCTTGTCGTTGTCGCTGCGAACTGCAGCGAGCCGACCTTCTGTCGGTACTCCTCCTCCTCATGCTCCTAGGCTTCCTCGTCATTGAACGTCAGCTCGGCGTAGGCGTCGACGGAGACTGGCATCTTCGGGACTCGACCGCCCTGCTCCTCGTCGATGAACCGCCTGCGCAGCTGGTGTAACCACAGCTTCCTCGCCAACCTGCCGTGCACGATCTCCATCCCGAGGTATTTCATGACCGGATGGATCTCGCGCAGCTCAAAGGCGGCCTCCAGTAGCTCCTTCAGCTCCTTCAGCATCGTCATGCCTCTACTGGCGGCGAGCAGGTCGTCGACGTAGACCAGCACCCAGCAGGCCACTCAGTCGTCGCTGACATTTAAGTAAAGAGCCTCGTTGTCCTGGCTCTTCTTCCAGCTCGAGCGCCCTGTACCATAGCAGCGGCGACTGCTTCAGCCCGTACAGGCTCTTCAGCAGCTTGCACACCCGGCCGGACCCGTCGTTGTAGTAGTCCGGCTGGTACATGTACAGCACCCTGTCGAGCTTGCTCTGCAGCAAGGCATTCTTCATGTCAAGCTGCATTAGGTTGAGGTCGAGTACGGCAACGATGTTGAGAAAGATCTGCAGCGTGACGTAGCTGCTCACTGGCGCGTACGTCTCGTCGTAGTCGGCACCGTACACCTGCGTGAAGCCCTTCACGACCAGCCTCACCTTCTCCCGGGCGACCGTGTCGTTGACGTGGTACTTGGTCATCAAGACCCACCAATTGTTCATGATATTCACCCCGCATGGGCGTTCGACCAGCTTCCAGGTGCCCGTGCCGATGAGGCTGCAGATCTCCTCGTCCATGGCGGCCTTTACCGCCTTGCCCATCCAGCTCGCCAACGCCTCCTTCACCGTCACCATTACGATGTCCCAGCGGTGTTCGGGGCCGGCGTGCATGTCGGGGTCAAGCTCCGGCAGGTCAATGTCCTCCTCGGCGTTGTCGTACAACAGGTCATCATCGGCGTCTTCATTTAGCGTGGTGAAGGCGGCCAGCAGTAGGCACACATGGTAGGTCAGGAAATCAGGCGGCCTCCGACTTCGGCCTAAACGCCGTGGTCGGTGGTGACTTCCACCACGTTGCTGTCAATGGACTGCTCCCCTTCATCAACGATGTTTCCACTGCCCTCACCGGCCTGCTGCACCAAAGCCGGCGTCCCTGCCGACTCCTCCCCTTTTGTCGGCTCCCCTGCCGACTGCTTAGTCGCTGCTGGCTGCTCTCCTGTTGGCGGCTTCCCTGCACACGCCTCCTTCGCCGGCTCCACCAAAGTCGGCTGCGCCTCCTCTGTCTGCTGCTCCCCTGACAGCGCCGACTTCTCTCCCACGTCGACTTGCTTGACGTCACGTCGGCCACCGGCAATGCCCTTGTCGGCGCCACAGGTGACGCCCCACTGCTCCCCTCATCGCCAGAGGCCGACATCGGCGTCAGCCCATGCAGTTCGGCTACGAGGGGTGGGGAGACAGGGAGAGGGACATGGGAAATGACGTCCTCCGCGTCCTCATCAGCAGGTTTGCCGACCTCGACGAGCAAGCGGAGAGTTGGCGTCGATGTGTCCGTCGGCGGGTTAGCTTGGGTCCTCCTCGATGCCGGCCCGCGCACCGACTTCCACACCTCCAACAACATCGTCTCGTAGAACACCACGCCCGACATGGTGACCACCTTGTTGTCGGTGAGATCGAGGAGCTCTCAGCCCTTGCTCTCCTCCGACACACCGAGATGAATGCCCCACCTAACCTTTGGCGCCAGCTTACCGCCGCGCTGCTCCTCGAGGATCAGGAACTGCCCATGCAGCCTCACATAAGGACTAGCGTCAAGTCGGGCTTCTTCCCGGTCAGCAGCTGGTACGGCGTTGTCCCCAACAAGAAGACCCTAAAAAGGTGCGCGCACACTATTAGCGCATCTCAGGGCTTCATGCACCAGATGACATGTGGCACCAGCGCCTCGGTAACCCCTCGCGGCAAACACTTCACAATTGCCACACTACCGAAGTCTTCGCGCCTGGCGCGATCTTGCGCCCTGACGGCTTTGAGGTAAAAGACGCATCGCAACCGCACACGTGCATAGTCTGCCCCAAAGCCGCGCTCACGCACCAGCAATTCCCCGTGCTAGACCCCAGCACCAACCGTTACCCAAAACTACACAATGTTTACTCTCTTGTCGTCGACCACTGTGGGCTCAACGACGAAGGCTACATGCGTACCTTCGTGGATGCATGCACTTGCTACGTGTGGAGCGCCGACGTCCAGTTCCGCAGCAGGGCGTATGAGACGTTCCGCCTCTGGCTAGTTCACGCGTAGCGACAGTCAGGGAAGAAGCTGCAGATTTCGCAGACTGATGGCGCGACAGAGTTTCGGAGCAAAGAGATGCAGAAATAACTGGGGCAAAAGGCGATTCTGCACCATGTATCACTCCCCTACGCGCACCCGCATCAAGGAGTTGCCGAGCGCACCACCGCATGCTCATGACGAAGGTGCACGAGCTACTACAGTAGTCGAAGCTCCCTGCCACCTAGTGGCGGTGTGCGATGCATCTCGCCGCCTGCACAACATGCTCTCCACCACAACCATCACCGGAAATCTGTCGCCGCATGTGAAGTGGACCAGCAAATAGGGGGATACCTCCATGCTCCGTGTGTGGGGGTGTATGGTGCAGTACCGATCCCCCACCTCAACTATTGGCATATTCACGAGCCGCGCGCGTTGGGGCATTCACCTCGGCCCTGGCAAGTGTGATGCTTCTAGACTTAATTGTGCGGTGGGAAACCGAATCGCGGCTGGTTTCCCCTGGTTTTCGTGCACAATCCCACGTGAACGTTGTTCGTTTGTGTTCGACATATTGAGAGCTTCAAATTGGAATGTAAAAGATAAAATGTGTCGAATTGGAGGACACGGCGGGTGGCGGTTGGAAGGTGGCAGGTGGCAGTTGGCGGGCGGCGAATGGAAGGTCCTCTCAGCAGCAGCGCTTGACTTCAGCAGCTCGTCTTCATAACCAATTGCAGCAGCGCTTCACTTCAGCAGCTCGTCTTCAACTCCAATAGCAGCAGCTCGACTTCAGCATTTATAACATTTTACAGGCATATGCGCTTATACCTTTTATACAATTCGAAGTGCACCCCCCTAAACGCACATGCGCTTATATCCGAGGTGATACAGTGTCTCCCGGTATTGCTTTAGGAGGCAAAAAATGTGACAACGACACGAGCTTCAAACTTCACTGCAACAACCAACACTCGACTTGGTTCACAAGCAAACCCGGTTTCGTCAACCTCACCAAACACATACCCGTAATCCCCCGTATATTGGACCCCCCCCAGTTGTAGACCCCCGGGGCTATAATACGGACCCGGGTACTCTATTCGAGTACATCTGAGTTGTACCCCCCTAAATGACTCCTAACATTATAAGACCCCCCCCACACCCTAGAGAAGTGCGGATTTTACAAAAATGCAATTGAAAATGGTCATATTCCATGCAGCCCGCACGAAGCGTGTATGGGGTGTGAAGGCCGGGGCCATCAAACGGTGCCCTGCGCTGTCATGTGAACACCAAGTGGTGTTGGTGGCCAATGGGAGGAGGCTCCCAGATAGGGTTCGTGATGACGTGGGTTCGGCCCGTGTGGAGACCAATTCGAGTATTTTTGGGAGGAGCTAAAAACGGAGCAATACCAAATCACTTCTTTGAGCTCCAAAACTACATTCTTATAAATGTCAATATGAACAGACCCGGGTCTTTTAAAGAATATACCATTAAATTATACCCCCCAGCCTTTTTAGGGGTGATTATCATAAGACCCTAGGGTCTTATATACGGGGGATTACGGTAACGCTCCAGTACGTTGTCAAGCGTGTGTGTGTGCGTGCGTGGGTGTGTGTGTGTGTGTATGTGTGTGTGTGTGTGTGTGTGTGTGTGTGTGTGTGTGTGTGTGTGTGTGTGTGTGTGTATGTGTGTGAATGCGTGTGTGTGTGGCACAGAGTGCCACAAGCACAGTTTCGTCGGAGACGAAGTCTGACAGCCAATGCATGTAAAATTATATTGCACCACCTCATTTGCAACACATCCTCGTACAAATGCACCCTCACTGATCTAGTGAAGACAGATTGTTGTACAATAAACGTGGTTTCGAATGGATGCTGCTTCGGGTCAATATCCTTCTGAAAATCGATGCTGCATCCAGCTTCCTAGCACACGGAACCTGGAACCAAGGCCATTGGAAGAGCTGCCACTCTGATTGATGCTACTGTGCCCTACAGTCCCACCAGAGAGATCTGTAGACTGGCTGGATTGGCTCCCCAAGGTTGAAAGCTTCTCCACTAACTCGCACGGCTCCTTGTCCGGGCAGAACTGGTCAATGAGGGCGCTGAGGGAGTGAGCCACCGCCTTCATGTCGGGCCGCCGTGTGCCCGGCATCTTGACGCAGTCCAGAGCGAGATCGGCAAAGGCCACTATGGCCTCCTCGCTCGCGTCTAGCTTGCTGTCCTTGAGCTCATCCAGCGCATATGCCTCAACTTTCTGGATTGCCTGCGGTGAATGGACGCACCACAATGGCATGAGGGGGAATATGTATTTGCTCCATTGCAGAGAATGATTGATATCGTGATTCCTTGTCTGCAATGCCGTACCCAATCTCTGATGTGTGACTCATAGCGAATCGGCGTCGAGCCAGTTAGCAGCTCCAGAAGCACGATGCCAAAGCTGCCGGCAGGCAAGAAGCAGAAAAACACACACAATCTTTGACACAGGTTAGAAGATATTCACGGAGCAATTGCAAGTAAAAATAAGGCAGGGATGTTCAGAAGCAATCCAACCTGAAGACGTCGCTCTTGGTGGTGACCACGCGTGTGCGGTTGTAATCAGGGTCCACATAGCCGGGAGTGCCCGCCACTCTGGTGGCATCGCCCTCGCAGTGAGTAAGGCGCTTGAGCAGCCCAAAGTCAGCCACCTTGGCGTGCATGTCGGCCGTCACAAGGATGTTGGCGGGCTTGATGTCGCGGTGAATGATGGGCGTTTCGAACCCATGCAGGTATGCCAGCCCCTCCGCTGCTCCTTGCGCCAGGCGCAGTCGCTGCCGCAGCGAGAGAGGGTCTGGATGAGAGAGCATAGAAGGACGTGCAAAGAGAGAGTTCAGAGGTGCATGGAGAGATGCTTCAGACCCTGAGATGCATAAGAAGTGTGTGGTGTGTGTACGTGTGAGTGAGTGAGTGTGAGGGTGCGTGTGTGTGTGCTATTCTCTCCTTCCAACTTTGAGAAACCATGTAACTCATGGTTTATGCACAGAAGATATAACTCACTCTTGGTCTTGAAAATGTGGTACTGCAAGTCTCTGTTAGCCACAAACTCATAAACCAAGATCTGCTCCTGATTGCCCGTCTCCACATTCTGGTCCACACAGAAGCCCAGCAGGCGCACCAGATTCACGTGGTTGAGTGTCGCCATGGCCCGCACCTGCAGGAGATTCATTCAGAGGGCGAAAGAGGAGAGATAGGATTAGATCCTGAATATGCTCGGTCCACCTCCAGGTGATGAATTCAGAGGGTGAAAGAGGAGAGGTTTAGGTCCTAAACATGCCCAATCAACCTGCAGGTATGCTGCTAGGGGTGGATTCGCTCCTTGCTGTGTGAGGATGTCGCACCAGCAGAGCATGTCGCAGCTGCTCCCAGCCTGGGCCTCACCTCTCTCTCAAAGTTGTTGGTCATCACAGTGGATCGCTTGATGGCCCACGTCTGCCCCTGCGGCGAGTGCCCCTTGTACACGATGCCAAAGCCGCCCCTTCCCACCTCGTTCTCCTTGGCCCAGTTGTCCGTGGCCTTCACCATCTGGTGTAGCGTGTACTGCTCACACACTTCCAGCCCCTGCCACTTCCCTGCATGTATACACACAACACACACATGTTGAAGCATGGGGCGAGTGTGAGGTGGTGGGAGAGATAGGAGTGAACGAATGGAGGCAGGGATGCAGCAGTGGAAGAGGAGTGCAGGAGTGCATGAGGGACATGGCGTGAGTGCGAGGTTGGCGGTCTCACTTTGTCCACGGGGCCACAGCAGGCATGAGAGCACAGCAGCCAGCAGAACGAAGCCAGCAAAGCAGCCCACAGCGATACCCACTATGGCGCCCGTGGAGAGCGAGGACACTGCCAAGGGGTGGTTACGAAGAAAAATAAAGCACGAGGACAGGGTTGAATCAGGTAGTGCTGGTAGCGCAATATGAAGTTGGAACTAACCTCACCCTACTTTTCAACGATGCTGAAGGGGGCAAACAAAAACCTGTGGAGATTCATTTACTTTTCCCACTGTTTGGATGACTTGATTACGCTACCCACTTAAGGCTACACCCAGCTGAAAACATAAAAAGAAAACCAGCGAGCCTTCCAAGAGAAAGCTTGGAAGCAAAAATTCCGCATCGCGACAATTTCAACCTTTCCAGTAGGTGGGGGAAGAAACAGCAACCAACAGGGTGCAAAACACCCTTCAATGCACAACAAGTAAAGAAGATGACATTATGACGAGATGGCCGTCCACACGCAACAGGAACAAGAGAGAGCATGAGAAAGGATCGGGGGAGTGGGTGATGTAAGCCTGCAGTAGGATTGCATGAGCATGTTGACAACAGGTTCACCAAAACAATGTGTAACTGCAGTGCCGGTGCGCACAGTGTAAAAACAGCGTTACTGCGCATGTGGACCCAGGCTCAACAGTGGTCGTTGTAGAGTTGACCATGGCGCAGGCAGAGCCACTAGCTTAGTGGCCCACTGTTCATTCTAGTATTTGGGTTCTGCCTCATCGCTCTCTTTGGCGCCTACCTTTGCTGCTCACTTGAGCTAATACAGCTTCTTCTCTGAACTTCTCCCCTAGCTGCTTGAGGATTTCTTCACTCACCAGTGGTGGTGGAGGAGTTGAAAACGGCGCACGTGGAGCCGTTGCCCGAGTCGAGGGCAGAGAAGCCGGGACGGCAGACGCAGGTGAAGTTGGAGGGGGAGGCGGGGGCAGGCGGCACGCACTCCCCATGGCCGTCACACGGGCCGTTGTCCGTGATGCTGCAGAACGCCTGGCAGGCTGCCGTGCTGCGCTGGGTGGCGTTGGCTGAGCACTCCGCGTCCGGGCTGAGCGTCAGGCAGTTGCCCGCCACACTCACCCTCGCCTCCTTTCCCGCCCCTGCCACCGAGTAATCTCGTACGGCAGTGAAGCTGCTGGCACATTTCCCAACAGCGCCGTCGCCCGTGTCCCCAAGGACCAGGTTGTTGGGCTGGGCGATCTCAGCGGGGCAGACCTGGCAGCCGGCAGCGAGGACCACGGCATCACCGAAGAAGAAGTTGTGAGCCAAGTTGATGAGCGCATCGCCATCCGCCACCATGCTCTTGAAGTTGCGGTTGATGCGCCCGTACAGGCTGTTGCCACTCACATCGCTGGGGGGAGAACAAGGGAGCAGGGGAGCAGGGGAGCAGGGGAGCAGGGGAAGGGTCAATAGCTGTACTCACGCCCATCTAATTGTGAGCACAACAACCAATCCCCACTCAGCAACCATCCAAAGAGCACGCCCACACGTCAGCTGCTTGCATACACCTGAGCTGCATAAGTGCATGAGAGACATACTGTGCTTGAACCTGCAGTCAGTAAAGAATTGATTTTCTCACATTTGATTGACACACTTGTCGAAGATGCACTCTGGCAGGGGTCCATAGAGGTAGTTGTTGCTCATCATGCTGCCAGCACACAGCACACAGCACACAGCACAGCACACAGCACAGCACACAGCACAGCACAGCACACAGCACACAGCACACAGCACACAACACACGGCACACGGCACACGGCACACGGCACACGGCACACGGCACACAATGCAGCTGTAAATGTGTGAGACTAGATTCCACACAACACTCCCCCACCTCCCTCCCTAGGAGTAAATGTGTGGAGTGCTACAACTTGATCGTTGGGTGGAGTTTGCCACTCCTTGTTCACTCTACTGCAGTTCATTACATGCTGCATGACTCACAACCATGCAAGGACGACCCTTGTGTAGGGACTTAGCACTACAATCTATCACACATGCATAGCATGTGTCACATACAATTGACGTGGCAGGTTGGAGTCTAGTCTTGGTGGGCCGGCCTCTTCTCGCTTCGCATGCTGAGGTCAACACCGTTTCTCCATTTTCACCACACTTACAATTAAGAATATGAAGCCATCACTGCTGGAAACCGTTGTCTCCTCAGCGCTTACCTTGCCGGCACATATGCTGTGCGAAAAATGCTCATGCAGCCTACCTAGTGCTCTGCTTGGGGCACATGTGCAACATGTGGCACCATTCTCTAGGCAGGCCAAGGCTTATAAACGCACGTAGCCAACGATCTCCAAAGCGGTGCTCCTCAAACATTTAAGTGCTTCACCTTCTACTTTCACGTGCAACCCTACAGTGAAAGGAGGAGGAAGTATTGAAACATTGTGTGCCATGCGATGCGCCACAGCCACTCACATGCGCCACAGCCACTCACATGCGCCACAGCCACTCACATGCGCCACAGCCACTCACATGCGCCACAGCCACTCACATGCGCCACAGCCACTCACATGCGCCACAGCCACTCACATGCGCCATAGCCACTCACATGCGCCACAGCCACTCACATGCGCCACTGCCACGCCATAGCCACTCACATGCGCCACAGCCACTCACATGCGTCATAGCCACTCACATGTGCCACAGCCACTCACATGCGCCATAGCCACTCACATGCGCCACAGCCACTCACATGCGCCATGGCCACTCACATGCGCCACAGCCACTCACATGCGCCACTGCCACGCCATAGCCACTCACATGCGCCACAGCCACTCACATGCGTCATAGCCACTCACATGCGCCACAGCCACTCACATGCGCCACAGCCACTCACATGCGCCACACTCACTCACATGCGCCATAGCTCGGGTAGCGAGCAGATTGCGGATGGCAGAGTGCCCTCGATGTTGTTGTTGTCCAGCCAGCTGCAGAGAGAAGGCGGGGTGGACAGAGATGGAATAGAAAGTGGGAAATCGTACATTGGGCACAAAGAGGCACAGACACAGACACAGAGAGAGATCGAGAGCGAGAGAAGTCCTAATCAGGGGCTCGCGACAGAGTGCGAGCCCTTGACACTCTGCCTGCATGCCGTCTGCCTGTCTTCCCATCCGCCCTAGGTACTTACGGCCCTGTAGAGTTTACCTCCAGCGCGCATGACTCAGTTTTGGTCTTGGTTTTGCAATCGACGGCTTGCGCCATCGGCCGAAGGCTGCGGGCGCTCGATAGCACAGCCTTTGGCCACACACGAGGCGACGACATAGCATTGGAGACATCACAATCTAACAAGCTCACACGAGAGATATCTGAGAAAGAAATCATGGACTGCGAATCCACGGCAGCTTGCCACCGCTGCTGCCACCGACTACATCATCCCCATCGCGCTGGTCCTTCCCAACAACTGCACCATGGTTTGATCAAGGAGACAGAGTGCTGACACGTAGCCGTCGACCACGTTTACAGCTCAATGTGAACGAGCGAAACAGCCCATGTGCTCTCAAGTCAAGTACCTACCATCACCCCCTCCACCTCCTCATCCAACCCCAGCTCCCCCTTGGGTTCCCAGACCGCCCCTTCCAACTCATGATGTACCGACTCGCTAACAGCGTGGCGGCACTCTGCAGGACAGTTGCCCACTGCTGTCTAGGCATCCTCCAACATACCCCGTGGTCACGACTCACGACCACCTCCACACACACCCGAGTGTGGCAGAGGGGAACGAGAAGGTCACCCGCCTCGACCACTGCTGAGGTTCTCTCAATAACTAGCAGGCCGGTGCCGACAGGGGGAATGCTCGGTTGATACCTCCTCCGCCATCCCCGCTGCGGCTGCCCCCCGCTGGCCAGGCGCCTCATGATCCCCTGGCTGGACGGGTGCCGGCTGTGCTGGACGCAGGGGCTGGGGCTGCGGTGGCGGATGCACCACCAACATGGCTGCCCTCACTTGCTGCGGGAGGAATTCGCTACAATCTTGGCAGCCAGCATGAAAAAAGGAGGGCCCACACCTGGAGCAGTGCACCACACCTGGAGCAGTGCACCACACCTGGAGCAGTGCACCACACCTGGAGCAGTGCACCACACCTGGAGCAGTGCACCACACCTGGAGCAGTGCACCACACCTGGAGCAGTGCACCACACCTGGAGCAGTGCACCACACCTGGAGCAGTGCACCACACCTGGAGCAGTGCACCACACCTGGAGCAGTGCACCACACCTGGAGCAGTGCACCACACCTGGAGCAGTGCACCACATCTCCGCAGCCGCCTGCGGAGGGGGTCCAACCGGCGCTGAGGCGGCGGTGGCACCGCAGGAGGGCACGCCAACAAATCAAGGGGCGGAGGAGAATCTGCCCCGCATGCTCACGCAGCCTGGCCGCTTGGTGCCGTGGCATTGTCCGGATCGTGGCTGGAATCTCCGCACACGCAGTGGCCGTGCCTGCTGCAGCAACTCATGCTGGCCACTGTGACTCTGCCCTCCCCAAGTCCGCCATACTGGAGGAGAGTCCCACGGCCGCGGCGAACCTGGTCGAAGGGAAGGGAGGGAGCCACGGTGGGTGGCACTCACGTCGTAGAGGCTCCACGTGCTGCGCTGCGCCACTTGATGGCTCAGCTCGGCCCACAGTGCAAGTGACAGCGACAGCCTCCAATGGGACAGGTTCACCATGCGCTCGCCATGCGCTCAGAAGGGCGACCTCCCCCAGCTCCGAGTCCACAAGCACTTCATAGCCCGCTGGTGGTCTCCAACAACGCCTACAACAGCCTCAATGTTGGTCCTTAATCTACCAGAACCCCGCCCTGCATTCTCGCCTCCCCAGTACCACCACATCCACCCTAAAGTTGATCCAGACCCACTAGCTCCCTAGGTACCCAGTACCACCACTGCAAACTCAATTCTCATCACGCGAAATTATTGACGGCGTCTTTACTCCTCTGCTTCACGAAACCCCAGGGAGGGGTCCGACCAATGGCCCGGAGGAGCGATGGGTCACATATGGCTACCAGCAATGCCTTTAACGCACTCGAAAGAGAGGCCGGTTGTGTTACGGCCTCCGCCAGCATGAAGTGCCACCATGCTGTTCGCGATCTGGTGCAGCCACACGGACTTGCTGATCCCACTTGCAGCCTCCTCGTACGACCGCCACTCTCGGCTGCTAATCCAACAGTCAGGGAGCTGAGAGCGTGTGGTCTACAGCCACGCCGCTCCGGAAGAAAACAGGGCGTTGTTACTCCTTGCTCGGCCACACACTCTGCCTCCTATTCCAATTGGATCGGGCACGTGTGAATGTGCTCACTAATCTTCCCTTACCCAACACTCTTCTCCATCTGTCTCCACCACAAATTGCACCCGCTGTGCCATTCTGACTGCCGCTGGGCCTGTCACAGCTCGTCCCGGACGAGACGGAGATACGCTGCAGGACCAGCAACAGTCGCATGCTCCCTTTTACCAAACCACCTCATCCGCTGCAGGACCAGCAACCATCACGCCCTACGTAACCGGCCTCACATCTCGCCGCCGCTCGGGCCAAAAATTACAAGTACCGCACAACCGCACGGCGGCATGGGTGGGTGGCATTATTCTTTGCCATGACCGTGGCGACTTTTACAGCTCATACGGTGTGCTAGAGTTTTTCCAAGGTTGTGATGTGCCACACCCTTCTTTTCCATGCTGAGCCCAGGTCTCGTGAGGAAGGGAGAAAAAATTCAACTTCAGGCAGCAAGGGCGCTCACAGCTGCTCGAGCTTCTCCAGGCGACTGATGGCAGCCGGCAGACTGCCACTCAGACGGTTGTTGGCCAGATAGCTGCAGGGGTGACGGCAGGCAGGAAGGATGGTGATAACACAGATCGTTGAGATGCATGGAAGGCGAGAATAGCTGGTGGAAAAGCGTGGAATGAGGGAGAGCCGTGAGCAAGCAGACGAGAAGTGGACACTCGATGCAGAGGAGGCAACAAGCTCTCAAGAGGGCACTTGAGTTGAGTTTAGCTCACAGGGAAGCTAGATTCGTCATGCTGAAGATGGCCGATGGAATGGAGCCGTTCAGCTGATTGTTGTTGAGGATGCTGCATGCATAGGTGAGATGCGATGCCATAGGAACGGGAGCGCAGGTGAGGTGAGTAGATGCTATGGAGTGAAGAATGCCAGCATGCTACCGAACTGTACCACAGGTTACAAGGACGCGAAGGATAGAGATCAGGTACACGGTATTATTACACATGCAGTGCAGTTGGATTGGATTGGATGAGTGGGTGCCAGCAGGGGTAGCTCACATGCCATTGAGAGAGGTGAGGGTGGAGATGGAGTCAGGAATGGACCCTGTGAAGTTGTTGTGGTTGAGGGCCCTGCCCACCACCACCCACACATAACCGACAGCATGGGGCATGGATACAGAGTTAGGGGTGATACTAACAAGGTTTAGTAGATGTGAATGGGCGTACAACAGCCAGAATGTGAAAAGAAGAGGAAGGGAGACAACGAATTTGCATCTGAGAGCCTGAAAGAGGGGAGCTCAGCAGCGAAGATGATACTATTTCTCAAACACCCCCATTCAAGGCGCATCTTGTATGCTAGGTTGACGAAGTAAGACAGAAATTGGGAATGTAGACGGTAACACAGGACCCCGTAACCCCAACAAAAGGCTGTGCCAATGGTCACCAGAGAAGCTGGTCCGTGACAGTAAAAGCTGCATTGCCAGGCTGGCAATCTGGGACAACCAGTTCGCCGCTCCTCTGCAGCAGCCCTCAACCTTAGCTTCCCAGAAAAGTCACACCAGCACTTCACCCGCCACATGCCACGGTGCCCTGAGACCCCGAGAGGGTGCCTGCCTGGCAAAGCACTCGGATTCCGCAACAGGATGGGATCTGCTCCTCTTTATCCCCCGCCGTACACATTGGCTCTCACCAGAATGACCTCACTGTAAGGCGGTGACACAATGCCTGTAAGAATCTCGAAAGAGCGAATGGGATGCCAGCATCGAAGCAATGACCTCCCACGGCAAGCCATGGCTGGAGGAGCACCTTTGCCTTCGCCCGCCTTTGCTCTGTGAGAGGAGAGACTGAGACCGCCAAGAAGTCTCTCTGAGCTTTCAAAACTGTGACAACAACCTTCCCGTCCATGCTCCACTTGGCATACCAAGCTGTGACAACAACCTTCCCGTCCATGCTCCACTTGGCATACCAAGCTGTGACAACAACCTTCCCGTCCATGCTCCACTTGGCATACCAAGCTGTGACAACAACCTTCCCGTCCATGCTCCACTTGGCATACCAAGCTGTGACAACAACCTTCCCGTCCATGCTCCACTTGGCATACCAAGCTGTGACAACAACCTTCCCGTCCATGCTCCACTTGGCATACCAAGCTGTGACAACAACCTTCCCGTCCATGCTCCACTTGGCATACCAAGCTGTGACAACAACCTTCCCGTCCATGCTCCACTTGGCATACCAAGCTGTGACAACAACCTTCCCGTCCATGCTCCACTTGGCATACCAAGCTGTGACAACAACCTTCCCGTCCATGCTCCACTTGGCATACCAAACTGTGACAACAACCTTCCCGTCCATGCTCCACTTGGCATACCAAGCTGTGACAACAACCTTCCCGCCCATGCTCGGATTGGCATACGCGTACATCGACTGCATACGTAACTTTTATCTATGTGGACCAGACGACTGTACTGCACCACCAAGGAACACCTCAACAGCTCGGCGCCACATTCCGCTCAGCAACGTGTGTCATCTGGTCCTGGACGCGATCACTTGAGAGAGAACGAGAGAGGAGAGAGAGAGACGCACAGGCGTTCGAGGTTGACATGCCAGAGAGAGAAGTCAGGTAAATGACCTGTGAAGCCGTTTCCTGCCAGGTTACTGCACGGTGGGCAGGGGGCAGACGGCACAACAAGGCAGCATAGTAAGCAGCAGCGCAGATGTAAGATCCAGGAACATCACTTGAGCATACTGACAAGCGACGTGAGACAGAGCTGGTGCTACACACAGTGTTTTCAGGGAGTTGGAAGCCTTGAGAGACGTTGGAAGGCCTCCCGAGAGGAAGTTGTTGGCCACTTGCCTGCAGCAGAGGGGTGAGGTGTGGGGGGGAAGGGGGGCTAGCACGGTAATTAAAGCCAGAAATCGCCTGCACATAGCATGCATAGGAAGCCTGAAAATGCAGGCTGGGGCCGCAGATTTGTTACGGCATGGAGCTAAAGGCAAGCAAGAAAGAAGAATGAATGAGGCAAGCGAGAAAATTAGATGCAACAGGGTGTGTTGAAGGCAAGGCAATAGGGGCGCTCACAGTGAGTTGAGCAAGGGGAGGTGGAAGAGGCCAGGTGGGATAACTCCCCGGAACATGTTGTCACTCAGATTACTGACAGCAGCAACCTCAAGGGCGAGAAGGAGGCGACAGATGATCATGAGCTGCTAGTTGTGTATGATGAAATTGCTTCAGACTCGTCCCCATACAACATGGTCGCCTCCTGTGTGATTACACAGCCTCATTCATCCCGTTCCGACCCTTTCTCGCACTCATGCCATGGCACTTCCATGGCTGTGTGTGTGTGTGTGTGTGTGTGCGTGCGTGCGTGCATGCGTGCGTGCGTGCGTGCGTGCGTGCGTGCGTGCGTGCGTGCGTGCGTGCGTGCGTGCGTGCGTGCGTGTGTGTGTGTGTGTGTGTGTGTGCGCTTTGGGTGCAGCCAGCAGGTGACACAACTTCGAGGTGACTTTTGAGTCGACTCAAAAGTCGCACTCCCACGGCTGCATGTGTGTGTGCTTTGGCTGCAGGCTGCAGGCAAGAGGCAAGCAGGGGTGCGACTCACATATCTCCCAGGCTGACAAGCTCTGTGAGTCGGTTGGGGATGAACCCGGTAAAACTGTTGTTGCTCAAATTCCTGCAGCAAGTACCATGGCCACAGGAAGCGGCGACAATGGCAGCCCATCCTCAGACGAGTTCTGAGGCGCCTCAAAAATTAAGTATACTCATCAGATGCCTTTGGGAGAGGCATAGCCTTTGGGAAGGACGAGTTTTACATCCACAGAAACTGCCGGTGGCTTCGGAAACAACACTGCTTCTGTGTGTACGTGCTTTGGTGACCTGAAGGAGCTCTTGACAGCCTCCTCGGGTCAGGTGCTCCTCTTACAGAACTTCGAGGCCTGTGTTGCTCAGAAGTGGCTCGGGGAAGGATCCTGTGAAGTGGTTGTTCTGGATGCTTCTGAAGGGCGTGGGGGAGTTGAATCAAACGATGGGCGAATGCACATACAAATGGCGACACACTTGCATAAGCTTTCTCAAAACGTAGGTATGTATGTATGCACTCATGGACGCATGCACCCACCCTTAAGTTTGCATGTACGAATGCAACCCATCACACATGGGAACGAAGAAACACTCATCTCCACCGCCTTCGTAAGCCATGAGATACACAGAATCGTACCTGCAGGTGAGCATCCATGCATGCTATTGCCATTGCCATGGATGGACAATCTCTTCATACCTCCCTATTTGTAATCCAATCTTCTTGACTAGAATAGAACTTCCAAAGTGATGCCGAATTCTGGACACATACTCAGTCATGTACCGTTGGTATACCAGACAGGAAGAAAGGAAGCGCTACGCAGCAATACAATCCGAACATGACTCACATGGATGTGAGGCCCTTGATAGCAGCAAAGGACACGGGTAGCACACCGGAGAAGATGTTTGTATGGAGGTCTCTGCGCGGATTGGATTGAACGGGGTCAGTTGGACTTGAACAGAGGCCGACACATGAAGGAGAGCCACAGCAGCTAAGCAGGGAGGGAGGGAAGGGGGAGGAACGTGAAGGCAGGCAGGCGGTGAATAGCGAGCAAGTGACTGTGCTCACATGTCTGTGAGCCATGTCATCTGAGCCACCACGTCCAGGCCTGAGCTGAGGCTGTTGTTGGACACGATCCTGTGGGATTTGTGTGCACGAGCGCACGGCAGAAGGGAATTAGTACGAACAACGGCTGTGGTAGACAAATGTAGGGTTGGCCGTGGACAGTAAGTGAGAGCAGAGCAACGTACATGCTTAGCGGTTTCAATGAGCATGCCTTCAGGCTTGGGCTACAGGCAGCAGCACAGCAGAGTGCCATGGTAAGAAAGCAAAGCTGCAGATGACTTAAGATGCGCCTTTTGTGTTTTTTCGTGTTGGCTTGGGCTTCAGACAGCTCAGCACAGTGGGATGGCAAGAAGGCAAACTGTAGATGGCATTTAAGTGAGAACTATCCGTGTATACAGGGATGCAATGGCGGTGAGCCTGGTGAAGGTGTGGGGAACGCCTCCTGTGAACCGATTGCTGAACAACTCCCTGCAGCCAGGAAGAGGGAAGGAAGAGGGGAGGAAGAGGGGAGGAAGAGGTGAGGAAGAGGGGAGGAAGAGAGGAGGAAGTGGGGATTAAGAGGGGAGGAAGAGGGTTGGAAGAGGGGAGGAAGAGGGGAGGAAGAGGAAAGGAAGAGGGGCGGAAGAGGGGAAGATGATGGGAGGCCAATGCACGCACATCTATCGGAGAATACAAGGCTCAGCTTGACAGCCATCAGAAGACCGTTACAAATTCAAAGTACAATTAGGAAGGGAGGGTTGGAAATACAGATACAAATGCAAGGGATACTGGCGAGAAGCATGGAGGGAGGGAAGGAGGTGCATGCGTGCCATTGCATGGTGGGCTGGGCGGGAGGTGGGGCTCACAGCAAGACCAAGCTAGGCAGTGCGAGATGCGGCGGAATGGGTCCGGAAAAGCTGTTGTAGCTGAGCATTCTGAGGCAGGCAAGGCGGGTGGAGTGTAGATGGGTCAAGAGCGACTCTAAGTGAGCTTCCTTCCTTCCTTGTGTAGAGAAACAGACCTATGTGCACAAGGCGAAGCTGTTTCAGGTTCTGGAAGCATTAAGAAAATTGAGGTGGCGGATACAAGCAGAACATATTACGCAGAGAGCGAAGAGAGCTAGCTTGGAGGCAACTTGGCTGGTACGAGTGAAACAAATTGGTGCCCAAGGGCTTGGGGTGGCCAAATGGGTGCTCAAGTCGCCCACAGTCAAGATGGGGGCGTGAGGGACCCTCACAGTGGGCCTGGAAGCGCCCCCTCCAGTGGAACCGCGATTCCACGAATTGGAAACGCGAATTCCAAGCTGGAGCTGCGTTTCCAATGTTGAAATTCGTGGGTCCAGGCTGGAGCCGCGCCCCCAAGTAAAACGTGCCGAGGTGCCCCAAAGCCGAATTTGGGGTGCCTAGATCTTGATAAAATCACTAGGAGAGCACCCTATAACTAATATAACCAAACCCCTAATGTCTACACTATTATAATGTAAACGGATACATATGACTCATTGAATACACTAGACGACTAAGCCTCCAGCGGATTTGAAGGACAATACATACCGAACCAAAAATAAGGAGAAAACGGTTTTAACAGGGGGCGGCGAGAGAGGGGAGAGGGGGGAGGTGGGGGGGGAGGGGGGGGAGGGGAGGGGTGTCAGCGGAGCAAAAGGGAGGAGGGTCAATAGAGGGACGGAGGAGAGACATAGACAGAGTAAGAATGTAAAAGAGAGTGAAGAAAGGCAGGCAAGAAAGTGAACAAGAGAGAGAGTGTGAGAGTAGTGGAGGAGGGAGACAGGCATACATAGACTGGATGTTGCTGTTGAAGATTCGAGGCACCAATCCGGAAAGGTAATTTGATGAGAGGTCCCTGCAGATAAGAGGGCAGTGCCACGAGCAAAGCACGAGCAAAGCACGAGCAAAGCACGAGCAAAGCAAGAGCAAAGCACAAGCAAAGCACAAGCAAATCACAAGCAAAGCACAAGCAAAGCACAAGCAAAGCACAAGCAAAGCACAAGCAAAGCACAAGCAAATCACAAGCAAAGCACAAGCAGATCACAAGCAAAGCACAAGCATGTCATATTGGAAGGCGGTTTCTTCCAGCAAAGAGACGCAGGACTGGTTGGTTACTCAGGGAGGGGAAGCCGGAAAGAGGAGAGAAAGGGGAGGTGGGGTTCTGGGGATCGGGTGGGTTGCAGAGGGGGTTAACGAGAGAAACACGTATCACCAGGATAGGACACGTACAGTTCAGCGAGGGCTGACAACGCAGAGTATGCTTCGGGTATGGTGCCTTGCAGATGGTTCAAGCTCAGATCCCTGCGATTGAAGTGACATGCAGGAGAAAAGATTGCTTTGCAAGACACAGAAACACAGGCAGGAATAGACCGTTTGCAATAACACTTGTAAAAAAGAGAGTATAGACTCTAGTTGGCGCTTTGCTGTCTCACACGTCAGCCTGATGGTCAACTGTCCCACACAGGGCAGGCTGGTCAGGAAGTGCCTCGCTTACAGGACAGCCAGGTTGGCAAGTGTGGAGAAGCCTTTGGGCAGGGCGCCTTCCAGGTTGTTCCCCAAGAGGGACCTGCAGTGTGCAGTGCATGGCAGGAAGGGGGGGGGGGGGGGGGGGGAGGGCAAGGTAACGGATGCATGCATGTACACCAATGTGGCATTGGGCTGTGCGATGGGGTTGTGAGGCTGTGCAACGAGGTACGTGAGGCTGTTCTGTGGTGTGCTGCGCTGTGCTATGCGCACTCACAGTTGAGTGAGTGCTGTCAACTCTGAAAGGCCTTCTGGCAGCACTCCCTGCCTCCTTGGCTCGTCGTTGATCACTCGCCTGCTCACAGGCAGGGGCAGGCAGAAGGGAATAGGAGGGGCGATTCTGCACAAGGTGCGCGTAGAGGTGCGGCGTGGTTTTTAAGTTGACGTGCAAGTCAACTCCTTTGCTCGATGTTCTCACATGCCTCCTCACAAGCGCAGAGCAGGAAGGGCTGTTCAGCGACATGGCAGAAAGGGCTGTGGCAGAAAGGGCTGTGGCAGAAAGGGCTGTTCAGCACACAGTGCACGTCACGCTGTGGCGCGGTTTGACTGATTGAGTGGGTTGTTAGCAGCTCAATTGTTGTGGGGCAATGTACAGGAATAGGAGATGGGGAGAATAAGGTAATAACAGAGCGGGAGAACAGGCGCACATGAGAAAGCTAGGAGCACTCTCACAGTGACTGGAGTTTGGACATCTGAGTGACCCAGTCTGGGAAGTCCACAGCTCGAAGAAATATGAGGTCCCTGCAGGGAGGGCGGCGAGGGAGCATGAGAAGGGAAGAGGGACCTTGAAGTGTGCTGGTGGTGTGTGCGCACGAGCTGGATTGGCCGGCCTAAGACGAGCAAGAATTTGCAGCAGAACACCTATCTCGGTGCAGAGCCGATCGCACGCACATGCGCATGTGTTGTGTTCAGCTTACAGTGTAGTGAGGGCAGTCAAGTATCGAATCTCCCGGGGTATCTCCCCTGTCACATTGCTGAGACCAATGAGTGATCTGCAAACCGTGCGCATGTATGCAAACAGCACATGGCAAAGTCAGTAGGTGAACTTGTCACCTGACAGCCGGGTCCGATGGCGACAGATAAATAACAAGGAACCTTTGGAAAGAAAACATTTGTGATGTGACAGCACTTCGAGTGTCAAGGGAGCCACTTCTGGGTGCTCTCAGAGCAGTGCTCTCAGAGCAGACCATTTTTTAGGCTCCTCGAAACAAGAGTGACTTCTGGGTGGGTGCTCTGAAAGTAGACTCACAGGTGTTGGAGGTGGTGGAGGTGGGAGAGCAGTGCAAAGGAGGTCAGCTCCCCTGTGAATTCCGACAACCCAGACAGCCGCCTGGTGGTGGCGGTGAGGTGAGGTGAGGTGAGGTGAGGTGAGGCAGTGGGACGTGACAGACGGGAGCAGGTGGCGGACGGTGAGAGAGCTAGAAACACAACAGAGCATGCAGCACCGTGAGCCGTAACTGTAAGAGGGAAGGTAGCTGCCGCGGAACTCCTGGATAGTTGTTGCTGCAAGGCGTTCAGTAAGCAGAGATCGCCTCGCTACTCTCCATTTCAGGCGAGAATTTTTAGTCGAGGTGAGCATTCTTTTTGCGTCAACGCAAGCACCCCCAGCAACTCACCTCCTCCCCTCTTCCCCACCATCCTCGGCCCATGTCTCCCCCCTTCCTCCCTGGGGAAGCATAACCTAGCCCAGGAATAGCGACTACATTCTTTAATTGCCTTTGCTTCGAGTACATCAAGACTCTGATACTTGACAACGCGACCGAGTTTCCTCGAATCCCCTTCAGCCAATCATTTCAGCGAGGCAGTCGTTTTGATACTACTGGCTCACCAACTGACGTGGACTGGCAGCACTTTGGAGTTCCCAGGACTGCTCCATGAGCCAGGTCGCAGTCACCACCAGGGTCCAGAATCCAGATGTCCCGTCAACCTGACGGGTTTCCTCGAATCCCGGTGGGCACGGTGAACTAGGGTGAACTAGGGGGGGGGGGGGACCACCCTGGTTCGGACCACGAGTCGGGCTGGCATGGCCCGAGGCACTCGCAGTCAGCGAGGGGCGTGTGGGCTGCTAGGTGAGGGGCGCGCTCACCCAAGGCCCAATGGCAGGTGTGCGGGCTCCTGAAGTAAGGCGGATTCAACGAGCTTCAATTCCGTCAGGTTGACTCAAGTGCGCACGAGACTCTGTCATTCGGCTCGACGCGGCCCGAAAAACGGCCTGGCCTGGTGACGACCGACTGTGTGGTTGCCAGGTCGTGGCTGCTCGAGCCAGAACCAACCCGCCGGGGCAGCTCGTGTGGCAGATTTTCCACAAACACCGGCCTGAACCACCCTCTAGCGGAGCCCAGCCGGCCTCGGTTGAGGAGGCTGGCCCGTTCTCATGCCCACGCGGGTGAATTTCATTGTTTTATGTGACGAGCTTTGATAATGGTGGTGCTGCCGATGCCATTGGAAACTGAATCCGAGCCTTGGAGAAAACCATGCTGGAAAAGAGTTGTGCCGCAGCAGTTTTGAGGATCGAGCAAGAGAGGGATGAACAGAAGGTTGTTGAGAAGCCTTTGAGAAGCCTTCATCAAGTGTCCTCCTCATACATACTCCCCAAGACATTGAGCCCATATGCTTATTCGCCGCCCACTGGGCAGGGTAGGCATGGAGGAAGAAACTGGAGAGTAGGCTTGAGCAAGAGGCGAACACGAACATGTTCGTGTTCGCCCAGGGCGAACATGTCACCTGGGCGAACCGAACAGTGTTTGGTTCGCGGCGAACACTTTCTGAGAAAATGGTGTTCGCCTGTTCGCCTCTAGGGGCGAACACCCCTATGTTCACCCCTATCTTCTCAACTTCTCAACAGCCGTGGGATGGGCGAACTGGGCTTCTAGTTATGGTATGGGCGTCGGTTTCAGCAAGGAGAGATGGTATGGTGTGTGAAGTTGAGTTTTTTCCCTGGTTTCTTCCCAAAAACGCTCTGAACATTAGACGAACACGAACATGTTCATGTTTGGCGCGGCTTGGCTAGCCACGACGAACTGAACACGAACATGTTCGCCCGAACACTTTTGGCCAAATAAAGAAAAGCGTTTGGTTCACCTCGAACGAACAGGTGTTCGCCCTTTGCGCTCATGCCTACTGGAGAGGCAGGGCTTACAATAAGTGCAGGGCGGAGAGGGAGGAGAGCCACGAGAGTTGGTCCACAGTGCCGGTGAGCAAGCAGCCGTCTGCTCCCAGGGCGCTGCAGGGAGCGATGCACACAGGCACAGGGATGGGGCACATGCAGGGGGGAGGGGCACATGCAGGGGGATGGGGCATGCGGCACATACAGAGGGATGGGGAATGTGCAGGGGGCAACAGCAAGCTCGATTGATTGAGTGAAAAGGGGGGGCATGCAAGGAAGGACAGGCCAGAAGAGCATCACGGATCAGAGGTCACATGTAGTCACTGCGAGAGAGCAGGAGGGGCGGTGAGGGGATGTGTGGGAATGGGAGGTGTGTTACTGGTGATGGGAGAGGAGAGGAGGGTGTGAGACGTACAGGTGGGTAAGGCGGGTGAGAGATGCAAGGGATGGCATGGGGCCCTCCAGGTTGATGCCGTACGTCAGATCGCTGCAGGGAGACAAACAGAGAGGGAGAATTGGGGGGGGACGAGGGGGGGGGGGGAGGAGAGGGGAGGAGGTGGCACTGTTGTGGTTAAGTTAAGGGCGTTTTGAATAGTGGGCCTTTTCTCGTCAGCAAGGGGAACCCAACCCGAGGGAGGGGGTAAGGGGGGTGCTGGAAACAAGTAGGTATAATGATTAGAATGAGGGAGTGTAAGAGGGAGGAAAAGGACATGGTGTGGCAAGGACGGAGTCACGAGGCAGGTTGCATGAAGAGGGGAGTGAGGATGAACAGGGGCACAAGGGAGGAGCAAGGGGAAAGGAAAACATGGTGCAGGCAGGATGAGAGGGAGAGGGAGAGGGAGGGAGAGGGTAGCGGGGACGGACAGGTATTGAAGGGTGGTGAGGTCAGTGATGGCAGCAGGAATGGCGCCGGTGGGAGGAGGATCCATGGTAAAGGCCTTGGAGTCCCTGCCAGGGCATACGTGCACACACACACGTGCATGCATACACACACGTGCATGCATACACACACGTGCATGCATACACACACGTGCACACACACACGTGCACTCACACACACACACACACACTCACACACACACTCACACACGTGCACTCACACACGTGCACTCACACACGTGCACTCAAACACATGCACTCACACACATGCACTCACACACACACACACACTCACACACACACTCACACACGTGCACTCACACACGTGCACTCACAGACATGGACTCACACACACACAGACTCACACACTCACACACGTGCACTCACACACGTGCACTCACACACATGCACTCACACACATGCACTCACACACACACACACACACACACACACATACACTCACATACACTCACACACGTACACTCTCACACACACGTGCATGCATACACACGCACATGCACTCACAGACACACACACATACCACACATATGCACCGGCACTCAGACATGCACACTCTCATGTGCGCACGCACACACATGTGCGCGCGCGCCGACACACACACACACACACACACACACACACACACACACACACACACACACATGCACACGCATACACATCCACGTGCAGCAATGCATACATATCCGCGTGCAGCCATGCATACACATCCGCGTGCAGCCATGCATACACATCCGCGTGCAGCCATGCATACACATCCGCGTGCAGCCATGCATACACATCCGCGTGCAGCCATGCATACACATCCGCGTGCAGCCATGCATAAACATCCGCGTGCAGCCATGCATACACATCCACGTGCAGCCATGCATACACATCCACGTGCAGCCATGCATACACATCCACGTGCAGCCATGCATACACATCCGCGTGCAGCCATGCATACACATCCACGTGCAGCCATGCATACACATCCATGTGCAGCCATGCATACACATCCATGTGCAGCCATGCATACACATCCATGTGCAGCCATGCATACACATCCATGTGCAGCCATGCATACACATCCATGTGCAGCCATGCATACACATCCATGTGCAGCCATGCATACACATCCATGTGCAGCCATGCATACACATCCACGTGCAGCCATGCATACACATCCATGTGCAGCCATGCATACACATCCATGTGCAGCCATGCATACACATCCACGTGCACATTGAAGAAAAGGAACATCACATCATTCAGCCTCTCGGCTGTCCAACCAACGGTAGTTCTCCTTCGTGTTTCCAGACCCCGGGCACTGGATGTTTGGATTTCGCGTTCAATAACCATGCCTTCAGTACACGTGCGGGTTCAAGGAGGAGGTGCTCAGTGCTGTGCAAGATCCAGTGCTCCCAGAGGGTTTAATCCTGTGACGCACACTGCAGATACATTTTCCCCTTCGGGCCGCTCGCGCACGACTCACAGGGCAAGGACGGCCCCGTTGCGACTCACAGGGCAAGGACGAGACCCTTAGGGCGGTACGTGAGTGACTCACAGGGCAAGGACGAGACCCTTAGGGCGGTACGTGAGTGACTCACAGGGCAAGGACGAGCCCGTCGGGGCTGCAGGTGACGCCAGCCCACGCAGAGCACGCCGTGGTGGCGTTGCTGTTGCCCGCCCACGCGCCCCCCCACGCCTCCTGCAGCTGCACCAGCACGCGCACTGCGCACACGGGGGGGAAACGGGGTGATTGGGAGAGTTGAGTGGGAAGGAGAGTATAGGGCAATAGGGACGAAGAATGGGGCCACTGGTGATCCAATATGGGTGCCCTAATGGGGAGTTAGTGTAACGATCCCCTGCGAACGATCCCCTGCGCCAATATAACACCCTCGTTTTGACCCAGCGGGTGGTGAGGTGTCATACTGGAATCAGAACCTAGCGTCCAAATCCTGGGTGGTCCACATTTTCCGCCTGTGGCGAGAAGTACGATGTGGTTACCAGACTTGAACCCAGCGAACGATCCTCCGCTGGCCTGAGCAACCAGCGAAATCGCTGCTAGTAGCACAGCGAAATCTAGGTCCTTGCGCGGGGCGACTTCCTGAAGTTCAGAGCCAACGGGGAGGTTGGAACCAGGGGGGAACGAGAGTAGCGCCTATAGGTTAGTGTTACTAAGGGCATCCGCTGCGCTATAACACCCTCATTGACCCAGTGGGTAGCGAGGTGGTATAGTTGCGCGCATGCACCAGCATGCTAAGCCACGGCACTGGCACCCTCACCGTTGCCAGCGCTACTCACAGTGCGACGGTTGCAGGACGGGGGCTGCCGTCCTGCCGACAGCATTGGAGCTGGCAGCGCCGGCGGCTGGCGCGACGGGGAGGCGCCGCATCAGCGCGCGATGAGCGAGAGCCCCGGTTTGAACCGCGGGAGCCGCCAGATGGTGTTGCGGCGGCTTGCGGAGCGGGGAAAATTTTGGATGCGGCGGCGGCAGGGGATGCGTGGCGCGGAAAGCGCTGCAGCTGGCGGCGGCATTGGCAGAAGGAATGAGCGTTACAATAGCCGAGAGAAGAACGATTGTAACAGCTGCGGCATTTGCAAGGAGGCGCCTCACTGCCCACCGTGGCAGAGGAGTGGGATTCATTTACTCTTAGCAGGCAAGACACGATGCATGAAGGCCTTCCGATTATTGCAGAACGTACAGGTGCTCTACAAAAATTTTGGGCCAAAAACAATGAATGCACTTAGCGCGAAGTATGTTCGAAGTACTTCATGGGAACACACTTCATAGTTTAGTATGGGCATTGGATTGAATCCGCAGGGCAAGTTCTACGGTGAGTTCATACTTTGAAGATACATAAAAAGGATTGTTTGTGATTTCCACATTCTATGAAAGAGGATTGTACAGTGTAAGGAAATTTCCATTTCCTTATGCCGCATCCCTGCTTCGCGCGTACACCACTGTTCTCGCCACACTCAGCGCCGTTACCACTCGCGATACTCACCACCTTGCCCGTCGCAACCCAACCTCACGACTCGGCTGGTCACCCGCGTTCCGGGCCTCCGCTTCGACACTTCCCAACCTCAGTCCCAACCTCAGTCACAGGCCCGTCGCACGTCACCCACAGTTCGTTACCGGTACCGTTACCACTGTGGCCTTTGCTATTTAGCTCTCGCTCATTCCTTCGCTCATTGTATTGTTTTGCTTCGATAGTGCAATTCTCACTCGCTCCGTGATCTCCCGGTTACAAGACCCCCCCGCATAAAAGCCCCGTGGGTCTTCTATCCGGCCCAGGGGTCTTTTATTAGGTCAATCCTGGAGAGGACCCGCCTTTTGACCCAAATCATTATAAGACCCCCCCTCAGGCTATAATGAGTGGTGTTAGTTCATGAGCTGGTTAGAGAGTCACACAAAAAAACCACCAAATTTACTTAGTCAGGCGAATTTGTGGTCAAGGGAGTCAAGATGCCACATCAATCACGCGTTTTTGCCGCCCTTCAGGCAACAAATGCTGACGTGCCTGTCATTATTAGGCATTTCTGAACGTGCGGAAAGGAATCAGGGAGACTCGAGTGCGAGAATCTGAGAATGAATTTCTGCGCTGTGAAGGAATCCAAAATTCAGTACAGAAATTTTTGAATTTCTTCAACATTGCACTACACAATCCATTTTCCATTAATTAATAGATGTCCAGGGGTCTTATGCACTTCATGTCATTACATAAGACCCCACAACCCAGTTCGAGCACATTTAGGATAAGACCCCCGGGTCTTCTAGGCAGGAGATCACGGTCAATTTCACTCGTAACACTTAGTATTCAGAGCATACGATCTTCTCTCGGACCGCACCCACACCTTCGCTTCCCCATGTCAAGCTATATGCCTATGTTATAATGATATGTAGGCTTTAGTGGGGTAGCTAATGTAGGGTATAGGTTTTGTTACTTGTACCCAACTCTCTCGATAGTCATGCCAACCTTCTCCTTCCCTTTACTCTCGACATGCTATTAAGAGCAAAATAGGTCCTTAGGACCGTTATAGGACTGTTTTTCAGGGCCCACCAACCGTTTTCCGCCGGTTACCGCGTTACCTCGCCCCCTGCCTACACTGCCCTGAGTCGCGCAGCCCTCGCGCTCGCCTCTGCTGGCCCTCGTGCGGCCCGCTAGCAGCCCGCCCGCTGCCTCGTCAGCCCTGCGCGTAGCTCGCTAGCCGCCTCGTCAGGCCCGCGCGCCGCCCCGCAGCCCTCGCGCTGCCTTCTCCTGCCCCGCGCGCCGCTCCGCAGCCCTCGCGCTGCCTTCTACTACCCCGCGGACCGCCTCTCAGCTCTCGCGCTGCCTGTACTGACCCGCGAGCGCGCAGCCAGCCCGCTGCCTCGTCAGCCCCGTGCGACGCCCGCCTAGCCCGCCCGCTGCCTCGTCAGCACCGCGCGCTACCCTCCCACGGCCTTAGCAGCCCTCGTACTGCCCTCCCACGGCCTTAGTGTCAAACATATATGCTATAGTCTGTGTAGGCTGTAGTGGGGTAGATAATATGGGGTACAACACTTTTAGGTTTTCCTACTTGTACCCAGCTGTTTCCTAGTGCGTTCATTCCTCGTACTTTTCTCACATGGTATAGAGCAGGTTCCCTAGTGGGAACGTTTTTTAAGGGCCCACCACTTGAATTTTTTTTTTCTGCCCTGCCCGAAGCGCGCATCGCGTTCTGCCCTACTGCTGCCCTTAGCGGCCCGCCCTGCCGTCACGGCCCTTAGCGGCCCGCCCTGCCGTCGCGGCCCTTAGCGGCCCGCCCTGTCGCCCTTAGCGGCCCGCCCTGCCGTCGCGGCCCTTAGCGGCCCGCCCTGTCGCCCTTCGCGGCCCGCCCTGCCGCCCTTAGCGGCCCGTCGCCGCCCTGCCGCGAACCGCCCTGCCGCCCTTAAGCGGCCCGCCCTGCCGCCCTTAGCGGCCCGTCGCCGCCCTTAGCGGCCCTTCGCGGCCCGCCCGCCCCTTCGTCGCGGCCCTGCGCGGCCCGCCTGCCCGTCGTCGCGACCCTCCACGGCCCGCCCGCCTCGTCGTCGCGGCCCCTTACCCTGCAGCAGCCGCCGAGGCACCGTGGCCTGCAGCAGCCGTCGCCCCTGCTGCCGCCGTAGCGGCTCTGCTGCCGCCGTCGAGCCTGCAGCCGCCGGTGCGACCGCCGCTGTCGTCGTTGAGAAGAAACGAGGAATGAGAATGACTAAGGGAAAGTTGGGTACAAAAAGCAAACCCTAGAAGACTGTACCCCATATGTGCTACCCCACTATAGCCTACAGTAGCTCTGTCATATAAATCTGACACACCCCCATAGGCAAAGTGGGGGAGAACAAGGGGTCACAAGACCAGTCAAGCAAAGCAAAGCAAGCTCAGGGTGGATCACAAAGTCACCACACATTTCGAGCACAGGTTCAAGGCCACAAGGCCAGTTCACATGCAGGATTACATATATATATAAGGCTAGACAAGCAAGAGCAGGTGTATATATATATGCAACAGTACAAACAAGGTCAAGGGGTGAGCAAGTGAGGCAAGGTAGGCACAAGGCCCAGCTGAGTACAGAAACGCTGATGATCACAAGGCGCAAGTGCCTTGGTGAAGATATCAGCAGTGTTGGCCTGAGAGGCCACGTACGCAAGCCGCAGCTGACCACGCTGCTGTAGCTCACGAGCAAGGAAGTAGCGGAGAGCAATGTGCTTCGTTCTGTGCTCCAGTCTCTGCTCTCGACACAAGGTCAGCATGGCCTTGTTGTCTACGTACAGCACTGGAGGAGAACGAGGCGGCTCTCTGAGGTCAGTCAGCAGGTAGGTGAGCCAGCGAAGCTCCTGTGCAGCCATGGCCCCGGCGTAGATCTCAGCCTCACAACTGGAGCCGAGAACAGAAGACGAGCGGGTAGCCCGCCACGAGACAGAGCCGGAACCAAGGCTGAAGGTGTAACCCTGTGACGACCGCTGCGTAGCCTGGTCGTCAGCCCAAGAAGCGTCTGCGTGCCCAGTGAGGACCACTGGACTCTGCCCTCCAAGCACAAGCCTCATGCCCGACGTACTGCACAAGTAACGCAACACCCTCTTCGCTGCAGCCATGTGCTCCGGTCTGTGTCTCCCATGAGCAACATAGCGTGCGAGAATGCTAAGAGGGTATGCGAGGTCAGGTCGTGTGCAGGTCATCAGGTACATGAGGCAGCCAACAAGCTCTGGGTACGGGCCACTCGACTCTACGGACTCATCCGAAGGCAGAGCTGAGAGCGAGTGGCGAGTAGGCAGAGGAGTGGCCTGAGGCGAGGAGTACGTGAAGCCGAAGCGCTAAAGGACCTGCTGCACCATGTGTGACTGAGTCAGGGTAATGGTGCGGCGTGCTCTGTCCCGGGTGATCTGCAAGCCAAAGTAGCTGCGCAGTTCACCCAGGTCTGTGCACGTGTGTCTCTTCTGCAGCTCGGACTTCACGTGGGCGAGTCCAGCAGTGTCAGCTGTGGCAAAGACCAAGTCGTCGACGTACACGAGGATGTAGAACGGCGGCAAAGAAGTGTCGTTGCGCAGAAACAGCGACGGGTCGGCAGTAGAGGGAGCAAACCCAAGAGCCGCAAGTGTAGTCCTCAGTGTGTCGTGCCACTCACGCGGTGCCTGGCGGAGACCGTAGACTGGCCGCCGGAGGCTCCACTGGGTGCCAGGAGGAAAAGACCCAGTGAAGCCAGGTGGGCGACGCAGCCAGATCTCCTCGTGCAGGCTGCCCTGCAAGAAAGCAGTGCTGAAGTCAAGAGAGTGCAGCTCGTAGTCGCGGTGAGCAGCTATGTGCAGCAGTACCCGAAGAGTGGTCATCTTCGGGGTGGGAGAGAAGGTCTGAAAGTAGTCAACTCCCTGCCGCTGACTGAAGCCACAAGCCACGTAACGCGCCTTGAAGACAGGCGGAGAACCCGGCGGCCGCTTCACCCTGAAAATCCACATGCCACTGACGATGTTCGCCCCAGGCGGGGGAACCTCGTCAACGTAGGTGCCTGTGGACTTCCAGGAAGCCATCTCTGTGCCCATAGCTGCCTGCCACTGAGAGGAGTAGGGACCCTCTATCGCCTCCGCGTAAGAGCGCGGAGTCGGGATGTCAAGTGCATCCGGGTCTCCCTCAGGGGTAAGCAGTACGGACACGAGATGAGGTGAAGCAGCAGCCAAACACTGGAACTCCTCCTGCCTGTCCTCAAGAACGTCCGTGCCAAGGGCACACTCACCCCCGACGGACGGAGGACAGACAAACTCAGACTCAGCGACAAGACAAGCAGCGTAGTCTAGACGACAGCGAGCAGCAAAGTCGACGAGCTCAGCAACTAGGGCAGACGCAGCAGTGGACGCAAAGGAAGGGTCAGTGACGACAGTAGCAAGGAGACGCGTGACAGTAGGACTGACAGCACGAAGAGAGTCCGACTCCGGGTCGGGAAGAGCAGGAAGAGAGGACTCAGGAGGAGAAGGCAAAGGGGCACGCAGAGGAGCAGTGGACGGACGCAGAGACATCCGGTGCGTGCCAGGGATAGGAGGAGGACGCTGACGCGAACCACGACCACTAGCGCGAGCAGTACGGACAGGCGACGCAGGACGCGACGCAGGCTCACGACGCTCAGCAAGACATCCAGTAGGACCAGTGTAGGGAGAAGGAG